ACATAAATATATACACATATGTGTGTACATATATATTTGTGTGTGTGTATAAATATATATATATATATATATATATATGTGTATATATATATATATATATATTTATACACATGTATACATGCATACACACATACACACAACTTCAAAATAACATAAATTCTCAACCTGTACTGAAAACAGGTCTCAGCGCCACCAGCTGGTGAGAGGCCGTGACGTCAATTTGAACCCCGCCCACTGGAACCGGTACTGAAAGCATAATGGAAACACAACCTGTACCGTACCGAGTAGAGTAGAGCCGGGCTGTACCGGCCCGTACCGGTACTAATGGAAAAGGGGCATAAATTGTCTTTTAAATCCAGCAGAAAATCCATGAAAAAAGACCCAGGACTGTTGAACAGCTGTAATCTTATTTCAGACAAGAAATGGGAAAACATTCTGCTCTAAAAAACTCCAGCAGCTGGTCTCCTCAGTTCCGAGATGTTTACAAACTGTTGCCACACTGTAGGAAACACGGCACTGTTTCAACTTTTTGCATAAACATTTTATATGTTTTCTATGTTCCATTTTGAACTACATATGGGATTACCAGTAGATTTGCTAATCACCGCATTCTATTTTTATTAATATTTTACACAATGTCCCAATTTTTTTCAGAATTAGGCCAGTACCTTAAGGTCTCTTCTCTGGCGGACGACTTCCTTGAGGACCCCCATGAGGATGTCTGTAGCTAAGGTGCGCTCGTGGGCCTCGTCTAAAATGATGACGCCGTACCGCTCCAGCAAGGGGTCATTCATGGCCTCCCGCAGCAGCATTCCATCTGTCATGTACCTGAGAGAAAAAAAGAAGGTGCAATACTAACTGCTCAAGACATGAAGCCTTTCCCATAATGCATCTTGGATTTATTTGACAAAACCTGCTTTAAAAGTAAAGGTCTAGCATTTCTCTCTAGTACTCTGAGTGTGTGCTGATGTTGATTCTCAGAAACTTTAGCTCAATATCTGTGTAGTAGACTAAACTTCTTACTTGAGCACAGTCTTGGCGGAGCTGCAGTCCTCAAACCGGATGGAATATCCCACCTCTTGACCCAGAGTGACGTCCATCTCATCTGCCACCCTATGGGCCACACTCATCGCTGCCACCCTCCTGGGCTGGGTGCAGGCCACCGCCCTCTTTGGTCCTGACACTGAACGCATCATCTCTACACACCACTGAGGGATCTGATGAACACAAGTGAAGAAGTCTGTATGGGTTTTTTTCTTAGGTTTTAAAACTTTAAAACTTTTGTTGGATGTAATTGGGACCCTGTGTACACAATTTCATTCCACCACATGTACCACATGTGGTGCGTATGAAACTTAGACTTTGACTTGACTTTTAAAATAAGCAATCATCAACAAATTACAGATTAAAGCAGAGCAGCTTATAACGTACTAAGTAGATTAGCTTCAATTACTACTGCCAAACAATCAAACATTCTGTTCAATCAGCAATTTATTTTTTGGAATATTATTTTTACAATTCGTCATGATCTGCAAAGTCAATACTGACTAAAACCCGGATTTTTGAAAATCGCACTAAAGTGTTGTCCTTTATGAAAAAAGAAGCTCAGGAGATGCGTTCACTCTTTTCAAAGGGATAGTATGGATCTTTGTAAGTGAGGTTCTATGGAAAAGTTATGAACATCTAGTATCTCACCTGTTGTAGATAACTCCGAATGAACTTTGTAAAAATAGAACTTGACAAGTAGTCAAGCTAGTTCAAGCAAAGCCAAGACCAAGGTCGACAAAAGACCTTTGCTACTTGAAGCCAATATTCCCGACTTGTAGTTTTACCTAGCCTTTTGCTACTTTTACATTTTAGTCTGCCTATAACAACTCTTAGCTAAACTTTTGCTACATTAGCTTTTAGCTAGCATTTTGCTACTTTAACCTTTAGCTAGACTTTACTTACTTTTAGTTAGCCTGTTGCTACCTTTACCTTTCAGCTACTGTTATGCTGCTTTTAGCTAGCTTTTAGCCACTTTAAGCTAGTGTTATGCTACTTTTAGGTCTACAGTTTGGCACTTTAGCAAGTAGCTTCTTTCTGCAGGGTGCTTTGTTCATGGTAGTTCAGCTAGTGTTCTTCGTCTTTTAGTTTTAAAAACTCAGTTTTAACTTCTTCAGCAAATTTTGGCAAAATCATTCAGCACTCAGAATTCATACCGCAGATTTGCACAAATGCAATTTATCTGTTTTATAAACATTTACATATTTATCCTTTGTTTTTAACAAAGTTTTTTTTTTATTCCTGTCTGGAGTTCCTTAGACAGCACTGAAAGTGCTACAGCTGGCTGCAGTTGTCATTATTTATGCTTGCATTAAAACACACAATTACGATGTAAATAACTGTCAGGTAAAACAAATGGTGATATAACGCAGTGGTTCCCAACACTGGTCCTTGAGGAACACCATCCTGCATGTTTTAGTTGTTTCTCTGCTCCACCATACATGATTCAGTGATTTAATTACTTCATCAAGTTCTGCCAAATCCTGTTAATCACCCATTCTTTCAAATCAGGTGTGTCAAAGCTTGGAAACAATTATAACATGCAGAATGGTGTTCCGCAAGGACCAGGGTTGGGAGCCATTGGTATAAAGGTTTATAAAAATATTGACATATTGAATATCATTATATTACTTTTGAAATTGATTGAGTTGTTTCTAAATGGTAGCAATCCATTTTGGTCTTGCCTACACTCAGACTAGTTATTAGCTCCCCAATCTGGTCAAAATTAAATTACTTCTCCAACTGAGTTCATTCAAAGAGCTATCTGCAACAGGTAAAATATTAACTATTCATTACCGGTCCACAAAAACTTATGATATAGTTGCAATGACAGTAAGTCATTGCCATTTAAGTTGTCTTTTAAATACCAACCAGTAAGAGGTACAAAAATGCCAATAAGAGGTTGGGAAGAGAAAAAAAGATAATATCAGCATCTCTCTTTAGGATTTAAAGAGCCGATCTGTAACCATCCCAGCTGCTTAAAATGCTTAAAAGAACAGCATGAGTGATATTATTAGAACTGTGATTTTATTTGAAATTAATCTGAAAGTGATAATGAGTTAAGCTACATTAACAGGACAAGATCATGTGCATTCCCTTCTGAATTTTTTGTAATGGATTTTTGGAGGATTATAGCTAATTTAAAAAAAGGATGCTAAACTTCCATCCATTGCTGGCATACAGAAAGACACACGGGCATGTAAAAACCACAGGAATAAAAAATATGATTTATTTTAAAGCACTGACGAGCTTATACTTCTCTACATGTGAAGTGCTTGGAGGATACTTTATATTCACCTCAGGAGGAAACAAACTCACGCAGTGATTTACTCTCATCTTCCCTTGCAAATGTAAAAACCAGACATCCCTGCTTCTTCTACAACTAACAATAAATAGTTCAATTTATCTTCCTGCGAATTAAATCCAGAGGAGACCATTTAAAATACATGAATCCTTCATTCCGTCGTGTTTTTTTTTCATAACATTAAACCAAGTTTAATCACCGAATATCAAACTCTGATTTACTACGACACATCTAAGTTTTTTTGTTTGTTTTTTTGTGCAGCTAATGACTTCTTCTAATTTTACCTGCGTGGTTTTTCCTGAGCCTGTCTCTCCCACCAGTACAAAACACTGGTTCTGTGTCAGGATGTGAGTGAAGTTCTCCCTGTACTCCCAGACCGGCAGCTGCAATCGTTTCTTCAGGATCTCATGGTAGCGTGACGTGTGGGGCAGGCTGGTGAGAGGATTCATCTGCTGATGAACGGGGGGTTGCTTGAGGAAGTTGGCTGCTGCTGGGTTGAGGGGGGTCTGGTTCCTATCACGGTCTCGATCCTGATCTCGATTCCGGTTGCGGTCCCTGTCACGCCTTTGATAGAAAGATGAATGAGGTTACAATGACATAACACACTGCAGGTGAAAAGAAACAAAATTAGGCTAACAACATCAGAGAGGGTGTGAATAGAGCTAGATGGAGAACTTTGAACAAATGGTGCACAAATTTTAACCCCCGTATATAGAAATCACATAAAAATATTACTGCGCATTCTTTTTCACAACCAAAAAAAATCTAATTAAACAAGAGTAGCAAGCACAGATCATATATAAACTAATTAACTTTTACACCAAGAAAAAAATTACCCAGAATTTTTAACATTTTTGTTTTTGTCTAAGACTGTGACATTTTACTTTGCACCTCAAAAGGACTCCAAAAGCAAACTAAAGACGCATTTCTGCAAAAATGCAGTGAATGACATGAATGACAGATCACATTTTCAAAATAATGCATTGCTAAAGTTATAAGAAGCAGAACATAATCTAAAATTAGCTAAACAGTAGCTAAAAGCTCAAATGAGCTAGCCTTAGCGGAAAGGAAAAATGGGCAGTAATGTCGGTAAAGGCTAAATGTAACATCCATCCATTTTCTTTACCCGCTTATTCCATTTTGGGTCACGGGGGTCACTGGTGCCCATGTCCAGCAATCACTGTGCGAGGGGCGGGGTACACCCTGGACGGGTCGCAAGTCCATCACAGGGACACATAGAGACAAACGAGACAAACAAACATTCACTCTCTCACTCACATCTAGGGGCAATTTAGAGTTACCAATCAGCCTAACATGCATGTTTTTGGTCTGTGGGAGGAAACCGGAGTACCCGGAGAAAACCCACGCATGCACGGAGAGAACATGCAAACTCCACCCAGAAAGGCCCCTGGACCGGGGTTTGAACCAAGGACCTGCTTGCTGAGAGGCAGCAGCTCTACCAGTTGTGCCACCGTGCTGCCCATCTAAATGTAAATGTAACATCAGTTGCTAAAAGCTAAATGTAGCAAACCTGTAGCTAAAAGCTAAAATGACCAAAACCATATCTAAAAGCAAATATTAGCAAGACAGAAGGTAAAAGTTGCGTTAGAAGACAAAAATTTAGCAAGTAAGCAATGTTTTTACATACTACTCCTTTGCAAATGAGTTTCTGTGTTAAGGTTGGAAATAGTGTATCCACGTCAGAGCCTCTTTCCTGTGGGCACCCACAGGGCTCAATTCTTGGATCCCTTTTATTTTCACTATCTGCTGCCTTTGGGATATATCCTGAGAAAACATGTCCTTTCATTTCATTGTTTTGCTGAACATTGTCAGATTTACCTGCCCTTAAAACCTAACAGTTCTTGCTCCATTCGCCCTCCTTTAAAATGTTTTGATGACATCAAGGCATGGATGGCTTCAAATGTTTTAAGTTTTAATGATCAGAAAACTGAAGTCATTGTGTTTAGCCCTAGCTCTACTGTTGTCACTGATCCTGTAAACCTTGACTCTCTTCAGCCTTTCCTTAAGCAGTCTGTGACGAATCTCGGGATGGTTTTAGACTGGATTGTATACCTGGATTATTGAGCATGGACTTTGCTGGTTTTGAACCAGTTTGACATGACTGTCAACGAGGAAGAGGACCGGCAGGGGAAGGGGCGTGCCAAAGAGACCATCTTAGCACCAACAAAACTGTTTTGTTCCACTTTGGAGTAAGCTGTTGGTGGGAAGAATCAGTTTTGTGTTGTGTCCAGAGGACCAGATTGAACTTTTTTTTTTTTAGATTTTTCTACCTGGATTATTGAGCATGCATCAGGATATTTTGTGTTGTGTATTTCCTTGACTGATGAAGCCTTCCAGATGGAAGGTGAAACATTTCAGCACAAAAAATGAAACTGTCTAGATGACCTGACTGAAAATTGTTGGACTGACTTTTAGTTTAATAAACAGTTTAACTCTGTTCTACAAAAAAAGCTTCTTCCAGTTAAAGCAGATAGCTAAGCTTAAGTCCGTGTTGATAAATGCCCTTGCACCCTCACACCTCTCTCTGACCTAATTCGACCACATGTTCCTTCTCAAACGTTGAGATCATCTGACCAGCTGCTATATATATATAATATATATGCAAATAGATGTAGTTTGATGGAAACAATAGTGATTATTGGAGCAGCATTCACATTAATGTCATCACATGGACACACCTGCCAGGACAAAGCTACACACACGAGTCAGGCTCCTTTTGTATGCAATGAGTAAAAATCAAAAAGTTTAAATTATTGGGGCATTAAAGTATGTGTCTTCGTTATGACCTCTACATGAGCTGAACTTAGCCTAGCATCGGTTAGCATGTCATGTTGTTAGCCGCGTTTGGAGAAGAGCAAGCCGGTTGTAGGGAATCTTAATAAATGTGATTTTTGCGCACTGAATTACACTCTAATAACAGACATAATCGGCTTTAAATCCTGTACCAGACATATAAATGCATGCCATAATTCTCGCTAGCGCGAACATATTAGCATGTGTTAGCATAGCTACATGAACAAACCTCAAGTTTGACGCTTGGGGTTGACACAGTGAACGGTTTTGTTTTTTGTTTTTACAAGAGGAATAACTGTCCCCTAAGGTTAAACGGTCTCGTTTGGGCATAGGACACCGGAAATTTGTCCAAAACGAGGCTAAATCAATGAATAGCCTGTAGAAAACTGTCAAAACACCAGTGGCACCACAACCGGAAGCTGTTCTTACCTCATCTTTAATGAGTTAAATGCTGCGAGGATCAGAAAACGTCCTGAATTTAAGATTTCCTGCAGATGGTGTTGAGCATGTAGTCTACCAGAGTGCAGAAGCAGTCAGAATTTGGATGCGAGGGAGGACGCTGATATGGGAGGTCTTCACTGCATCTGGAGACTGGATGCTCAAGCTCAGGGGCGCCACCAAAGGGGGGCAAGGGAGGGCAATGGCCACCCTTAAAAAAAACTGGTAACCCCCACAACCCTAAAGGTATGAGAAGATTACAAGATAGTGGTGAAAATGTAGTATGTTGTAAAGTTTAGAGACAGTGGCATTGACAAAAAGACTGGAGACAAAACTGGAATGTTCTCCTTAGAAGTGACAAAGATGGATGAGATGATGAATGAGATCATCAGAGGTACAGCACAGGTTGAACAACTGGGAGATAAAGTTACAGCGGCCAGACTGAGATGGTTTGGACATGTCCAGAGGGACAGAATGGTAGACAGATGGTAGAAATATAGCTGCCGGGAAAAAGACAAAGAGGAGCTTTAAGGATGCAGTTAGAGAGGACATGGAGGTAGTTGGAGTGAGGACAGAGGACAGGAGATGACATGCTGTGGCAACCCCTGAAGAGGGAACAGCGCGAAGAAGGGTCTAAAATCATCATCCTCAACACTAGGATGTGGGTCTCAGGAGGTTAATTTCACTTATCTGTGGCAGCCATCTTGAATGGAGTTGACTCCAAGTATTAATCAGTTGAAGATGTACATCCAATCATTTCTTTATCCGTTTTATTAAAATGTGTTCAGTGGTTTATGAGATAGTTTGCAAACACTGTGGACAACACACACATGCACAGACTTGAGCAAAAATATTATTGTCTTTCACCTTCAACTATATAAATAAATATAACGCATATACGGTAACTATAGCCAGTGAACACCAAGGTAACTTTGAAATGTAAGTCAGTGACTGAATAAAAAATGACATTTTGTTCAATGATATATAATAATAAAGAAGTCCAATCTGAATACTTTGATGAATTTTAAATTAAAAATTGGCAATAATAAGAAAACAAAGAGTAATGCTTCAAGGAATCTCATTTCATGCCAAAGGTTTTTTTTTACTTTGATCATCTTATGTGTAGAAGTAGCAAATTTGTATCTGCATTAGTCTAATTTTTAAATAACATTTGTTTCATATTTTCATTTTAATGTGTCCAATTTGTCAAAATGCACAAATGTATTTATCCTACTAGGAAACCCATAGGTGTGAAATAAATACTTGAATTAATGAAGAGCTTAAATTTATCCTCTACATTTGTAAAGTGATGAATAATCTGTCACACAGAATGATCACTGCCATTACACAGCCTGAGTGCTGCTAACAAGCTGCATAATGCAGACCTGACAACCATCCCCATTTAGGCAGGACTGTTCTGGACCTCTATCTTGTGTCCTGCATAAGGAGGGACGAGACTCCCACATGTCCCAGATTTGACAAGAGCTGGCTGGGCTCACTTGTTCATACCGTGAATGTGTGGTTGGAGGGTCACAGAGGTGCTGCTTCGTGGGCTTCCTACAACAGCAGGAGTGAGGTTACCACAATAAGTCTATCAAGTGCATTTTCTCAGCTTTCAGAAACCATTGTTTCACCATTTGCTCTTGCCAAGGTCGGATGCTTTTCCCCTCCCTCTCCGCTTTGCTTTGCTGCTCTGTCTGTCTGTGAAAGTGCTTCTGAGCCTCTCTTGCATATCTTCCGAATCATAATAATGGACTTGTTTTGATCAGATGGTCCCTCAACACAATTGATAACATTTCTTTAAGAGAAGACAGGCTTTAGGTGAGCCGGTTTGCCCTGTTGGCACGCACGCAGCTTGATATCTCATTGACTTTAAGACTTGATGATGTGTCTATCTCTGCTGCCATTTGTGGATTTTAAGGACACATATTAAATTGGATTTATGATAAATGGTTTCTGCTTTTTTTAATTCATCTGGTGGCTGGTTTTATCAACAATCAAGGACGTCGTCGGCAGCAAATTGGGACCCGATCACGCTGCTTGCCTTTATGATGGCTTGGTTCGTGTCTCGAGTACCCAGACTCAAATGCTTTGGGCAGAATGGATCAGATCTCTAGGATTTTACTCAGTCACGTTCCATCGATGTGGCCATGTAATTTTGACATTTCAGAAATGAGTGGACCAACACAGACTCAAGGTAGATGTCATTAAGTTCTGCCTATCCCCAAAACAACTGTGTGTTTATCTGAATTTGGCTCCCTTGGCTGGCCTTGAAGGCCATCTTATCTGAATTTGCCTGGAGTACATGTGATCTGACGCTCACCACCCCCTCCCTGAGGAATTTCCAACTGAAAACCAGAAGAAATCAGCTGAATAAACATTGTGTCATCATTTCAGGACTCTTGGATTCTCATGAACGTTATTCTTGGCCATTCCTCGACATACCTCGAGAATGTTCATGGATTTCACCGAAGGGAACTGGTTGATTATTCCATCCTTATCAGAACCGCTCACCGCTCTCATCGTCTCTCCCCCCATCGGCAATTCCTCAGG